TCGGGATAATTACGAATTGTTTGTACATATATATATATATATACACATGTATTTTAGAAGAATGGACATTAGTGGGTGGATAATTGTAATAAGTCACAAATTTTATTATTGCAATAATAAGTACATACCACTGTAATGCAATGTATTTTGAAAATAAAATATCACACTTACGATCAAATAGGCAGCTAAGACGTCGAAATGAACGTCCGATTTCGTAAAGTTAAACACAAATATAGAAAATATGTTCTTGTCGGCCTCTGAGACGTACAAAAGAAACTCCTTGGCAAAGTAGTCAATTGTGGGCAATTTTGTATTCTCGCTTCGCAATTGTCGGCTCTCTCCGTGCTTCGGCCAGAATATCGCAACGGCTATGGAACTGCGCTATCTACGTAGCTAGAAGGAAAAACCAAGTTCACGGATTGGTTAATAGTATTTAACGTTACAACCAATTGGGGACCACAAAAAGACATATCAATGTCAATAGTCCATCAAATGCGATGTACTTGTTCAAATCTTGTTCCACATAGTGATGAGTGCAGCGAAGCACACGTTGTCAGGACGATCATTTGATCATACATATACAGTGCCGGCTTTACTTATGGTGGAAGGAGTGCGGCACACACGAACGCTTGGTCTTATGTGACGCCGAGATCCTTTCACGGACGCAAACAAAGTAAAAGAGCCATTGCTTCTCAACATCATTTCTAGTTGCACCCGAATTTCCAACACTGGGGAACATATAACGGTAAGTATTCCATTTTGATTTTTGATCGCATGCCTACTAGAGGGCACCCGGGTAATAAATGACCCAAACGCTACATGACCTAGCATCGGCACTGTCTTTAAATATTATTAATGTAAAAGTTATATATTTTTTTTTATTTAGACAAGATTAGTCTTGACGCTTTATTTACTCAATATTATTCGATTTCGCCAAAAAATACGAATTAACATAAAATACTTACATTTGAGCGATTAGATATGTAGTGTTTGGAAATTTTTTACTGTTTAAAACAAGAGTACTGCAGTCACACTTTATTAAATCTCTCCATGAATAAATTAGACATAATTATAACATTGTTATGAAAAAACTGACCTCAAATGAAATACATACTTAAATACTAAATTATGTATCTCTGTATTTCTGTGCCTGGTGTCTTCGCGTGAATAGAGTCCCAGACCACCTAACGTAACGTTGACCTGGTTTTCCATACCAGTATCTGAGTATTCGTACAGTTTCCAAAGGTAATTTAATGACTTCTAATTTCTTCCATAAGACATTATAGGAAACCAGGTCATAAGCCCTAGATAAATCCAAGAAACAGGCGTAAACCGGTGTCTTTCTATTCACATAATTGACAGTATGCTTAAGACATAGTATAGCCCTCTCGGTGGACAACCCGGGCCGAAATTCGAATTGGTTATGATTTAGGTACTTACACTATCAAACACTTTCGCTATAACAGTCTCGAGAGAAATTGGTCTGTAGCTACTGCAGTCAGACAAATTTCCAGTTTTGTTTTTTACTACAGGTATTACAATGGTTTTCATTAAATCCTCGGGCAAGTAACAATGTCTGACACACAACGTATAGAACATTGCCAACACTCTGGAAGCATGAGGACCCGCGTACTGAAGATGGGCATTTACCTCGAGAAATTGACTTGATAGTCTTGGCCACACCCTTAGCAGTGTACCTAGGTTCAACCTGCTTACTGTTGGTCTCAACATCGTTCATCCCCCCCGCGATGGTTCTAAAGGTGACTTTTCAAGAAAATGTTCTTTAAAGAGGTTGGCAATATCTTTCAAATCATGTTTGCCGTCAACACTCGCAGGACAGCCAGACCGAAGCTTCATATTATTCGTAGACTTCCAGAATGATCGAAAATCCTTTTTGGAATTTTGTGAAGCTACTATATTCATTTTAATTGGACTTTGATGATCTTGACACCATTTGAGGCGGGATTTGAAGATCTTTTGAGTTTCATACATCTTGCCGGGTTCTTGGATGTGAATTAAAGAACACCGATCTTATAGTAATTTGTATATTCACTAAAAATGACGCAAAATTGTTTTACAAGTTTGAAACCAAGTTTTTTCACACACGGAGCCGCCATGACATTCTCTCTTTTTTACCTCTCTTCTCTTATTGGTCAGCGGTGCTCGCAGGCGCCGTCTCACAGTGGAATGAACTTGAGGGTGCGCGAATTTAAATGTGGTTTGCCACAATCTCATCAAATAGAATGCCATGTTTAGGTCTACCCTGAAGCGTCCATTCCTCAAATTTCTGCCTGGCAGCACTATGAGCGTGTTTGACGTGCCTGTTCCACCCTACTACTAGATTTTTCGGTTTGCGCTTTCTACTATTACTACTGATAGTTGCAGCATCGCAGAGGACAGACACTATGTTTTTATACAACCTGTCAATCACATGCCTATGCCTAGTTTCACTGCAGTACCTATCAGCGCAGTATCTAATCTTCAAAGGAAAGTCAATACGTCTCAACCCTTTATGGCATTCCTCACTATGACGGGCTATTGACTCCGATCCCCGCACTCCCCATAGGTACTATGTGCTGCTTTAGTATGCCAGTCGGGTTGAATAATCTAGGTGTTACTAGATTTAAATCGCACTCTAGCATGAGAGGGAAATGGTCGGACCACGTAACATCGTAATTGACGTATACACTATGGACTGATGACACTACAGATACTACTTAAGCACCCATGAAGTCTCGCGACTTCAACTTATCGCCTCGTAAAAGAAAAAAAACTGTCGTTGTAGGCAAATAGTTTCTAACCCACTTCAAAAAAAGGAGGTTCTCAATTCGACTGGTTTTTTTTAATATAGGTATGTTACGCGATAACGCCGGCCGGCGTTTGTGAAACGATTTTGATGATTTTTTTTTTTTGTTGGAAAGAGGGTACCTCAGTAGTGGTCCCATTTAAATTCAAAAAAAAAATATTTCACCGCTAAGGGTAGCAAACTAGGTTCTGAATGACTTTTTATGGTCGATTTTTTAGGATTCTGTACTGAGATTATTATTAGATAAGTTACTACCAAGCTTCGAGCCTGTTTTGTTCAAATGGTTCTTACATTGTGTAAAAATTATTCAGAAACGGACGTGATGGACTTGAATATTCCGCGGCGAAAATCTGGAACAACATACCGCCACCAATGCGTTCCTCACAATCCGTTTATGCGTTCAAATGTCAACTCAAAGAGCACATTCTAAATCTACAAAACACGTCTGGGACAATTTTATTTGTGTAATGCGCCTCAAAATACAAAATTAAAAAGAAAAAGGCAGAGTGAATCTTTGTTGGGACATTAGTTGAAATTTGTGTTATGTTTCCTATTTAATTATATTGTGTCATGTTTAAATTATTATTTAACTCGCGTCCACGTTTGTTTTTATTTTTTTCATATATTTTTATTTCTTTTAATCGGCATTTTCGAAAAGGGTCCACTGAAAACCAGCGCTGTGGCCCTGCCGCAGTATTAGCTGAGTTGGGTCCTTTTCAGTGCAATAATACACTTTTAATACTAATTATTAATATTGTACTCCACGTGTATTGTGCTGAATAAATTACTTTTCTTTCTTTCTTTCTTGAATAGAATATTCTAGTTCAGAATATACAGTACCGGCTTTACCTGTGGTGCAGTGTATGCGGCGCACACGGGCACATAAGTGTTTGACGTGACTGTAACGTGAGTCAAGTAAGCGAAGTAAACGGGTTATTGCTTCCCAATATAGTAATTGTAAACTATTTGCACCATTTGCACCCGAATCTCCGATCACTGGGAAAAACGTAACTGTAAGTAATCCATTTTGATCGCATAGCTTGTAGAGGGCGCCAGGGTATTGATTGCGCCCGGGCGCTATATGGACTAGCGCCAGCACTATTGTGAACAATATATTTCATGTCTGATATTTTGGGCCAAAAGGAAACAGCTTTTTACTTGCAGTTTTTAATCGAGGGCATGGGTCCATCACGTAGAGGGATACGAAACTAAATTTTTTTATGGAAATCAATTCAGCAAACGAAAGAACACCAATTATTTTTTTTATTTTTTTTAGTAGTAGGTAATACTTGTTAAGTGGGAGCATGCCAAAAAAGTTTTGACGTTGGCTCCGCCCAAATCTGTGAAACAAATATATGCCTGAAGTGCGACAGGACATGTTGAATTTTGCGCATTAAAAGTACCAAATTCGTTTTAGCGGAATAACTCTAAAACTAAAGGGATTAAAAAAAATCCGTAGTGACAGTTCTCGATCATGCATAAATATAATTAATTATCTAATTTTTGTCCTAATAACCTGTAGCATTTCGAGGATGAATCGAAAAAATGTGAAAATTAGAGGTCATTTCGTGATTTTTATTTATCGAGGAAACTTTATTGTTTTATGCTTCTGATTAGTGTCTATTCTTGAATATATCGTGTACGTAGTTACTCATACAATATTTTATTTTTAACTTTAAAGTGGATATACCCCTCCAAAATCAAATCGAAGATTAGAAATTTTTCCTCTGCTCCCTCTTAAGTACATCGTCAATATGATAACAGTTTAGGAAAACAACTATTGTATATATCACATATCTGTCGTCCGCTAACTAAAACGCTAAGTGACAAAATTTTTTTTCAATCATTCGCGTTTTCAGAATATTGAAATTGTATATCATTAATAATATCATTAATATTTCAGCTATGCGTCGTTAGGGTAAGTTCCGATAAGTCGAACAAGTTAACTAATTTCAACTGTCGTTAAAAGAGAATATTGTGCTCTGTATTTTCCTATTTAAAACGGTTATTTGACCATTTGTCACCTAGCCGCGTTTTAGTTAGTGGACGGCAGTAAGGCTAGCACATTAAGGCGCGACTTGCGCGAGAGCGACATAAAGCGTGAGATCTCTTTGCGAGAATAGCAGTATATCGCGCTTTATGTCGCTCTCGCGCTTGTCGCGCCAGCCCTACAGATATACAATAGCTTTTCCAATCTTGCTTGCAATTACGTTTTCCCAAGATAACCAATTACGCAAAATAAAAACATTTCCTATATTTCAAACATTATTATTAACCCTTATTTTACGACATAAAATAAATGACAAAAAATACATTCTACAATAATTCAGAAATGTAATTAAGTAATATTATTGGGAGATTTACATAATTTATCAATTTTTTTATTAAAACAATAGGCTTTTATTTTTACTATTTAATATTTATAAACAGTTAAGCAAAAGACGAAATAGGGCATTTACAAAGTTTTACGGTTTTATCTACATTCACAAGTGGACTTCACAATATTTGCTCGCTACATGCATCTTTAAACAACCATTGTTTATAGAAAGCGGATGAAAACACGCATGGAATATGCCGTCTCTTATACGAAGTCAAATTAACAAGACTCATGTCTGGCCACATTTTAGAAGTACAGTCGATGCTCTAACCTCACCCCCAATCGGATGTTTTGGTTCTGGAAGCCATCTTACGCATTCAACAGAAAATGGAATTCCAGCTTTTTGGTTGAAATTTGTATTTATGTAATATAATTAAAAATCGATATTGGCTTAAAAAGTTTTATAAAACGTTAGGTCACTAATGATACAATGAGGAAGTCATAATAAAATTTCACGGCTTACTGGTTAAAGTTCGATTGATCATTCTTCAGACTAATCTACTTAGAACCAAATGAACATTTAGGGTTTCAGGTATCTTAGGGCATTCACTGTACTAATCAAAGAACTGGTACTCTCCCCTCCCAATCAGGTATGAAAACGTAACAGGTAGCACTGTAGCAGATAATGGAGCTGACCACCATCTTGTAAGTTTGAAAACCTGAACAATCAAGTTAATTGACAGTTCTGTCCCGAGTCTAAACAACCCCTCAATCCGCATAGCTTTGACAGCGCCCCTAAAACTAACTTAAAGAATAAGTATAAAGTATAAAATGTAATTGGAAATACAAACACAAAATGCAACTTGTTCCTTTTATGCCGAAACTTTGTATCACAAATAATCACGAATTTCTGAATTACAATAACATTATGATTAAACAGTATTGTCCATATAAAGTCATGATTACTTCAAATAGTGAGATAATATTCATGCACTAGGTTAAGCAGAATAAACCCTGTTACTTGGAGGCAAACAGCTTTTAAGGTTACATTCACTTACGTAATTTCTTACACTAAATGATTATAAACATAATAGATACAAATCAACATTATCAGTAATTTCAAAGCATGGTAGGTATAGTCAATTTGTTTGTACAGCTTGAACCTAACTACTTCACAATTGTTTCTAGAATTAAATATACAAATCTTGGATAAAGGCCCATAGGTGATTCCTTTACAATTTAAATTATGTAAATAAGTCATTTCATACAACAAAATCAAGCAACCATTAATACACTGTACAGAATAATTACTTGTTGCATTAACATCTTGATATAAAATTATTGAAAGCTGTATCACCCCAAAAATTAATCTCCTGTTCATGTGCAATACAAGCACTGTGCAAATCTAACAAAGTATCTGTGAATCAAAAAGATTAAGATAAATTGGACAATGAAACACCATAGTATACATTCCTTCCTTATCCTTCCTGACCAAAATCTTCCATAAACTTCTTCAGTTTGGTCATATCTTCATCGTTGACAGTAGGTTTAGATGTTGCCAATGATCGCAGCATATCTGACATTGTGACTGGAGGTTCACCCAACTTGTCACTTGGTACATCCATCCAGGTCATCTCCATTGCTCCTGGGTCACCAGGAGAACATGGGGTCAGGAGATCATTTACAATTACATCAGGATCAGTCGGGCTGGGACCAGATATCTTTTTGAAGTGTGTGGCTGATTGCACTTTACGTACTGGCTGCATTAAAGCATCACGAACAACAATGCTGATATCTGCACCTGAATAACCATCTGTTTTAGCAGCCAATACCTTCATGTCCTGTTCTGTCAATTGGTGCCTGGTGTTGCCCAAATGTAATTTGAACATATCCAATCTTGCATGCTCTTCTGGTAGGGCAATGTAAATACGTTTCTCAAAACGTCGCCTAATAGCAGCATCAAGAACCCAGGGGATATTTGTAGCTCCAAGCACCAAAATTCCATCCATGTCATTTCCGACACCTTGCATCTGTACCAGAAACTCAGTCTTAATACGCCGAGCAGATTCAGATTCATTATCTGAACGAGATGAACAAAGTGAATCTATTTCATCAATAAAAATTATACTGGGCTTATGTTGCCTTGCCAGATCAAACAAATTTTTGACTAATTTTTCAGATTCACCAAGCCATTTTGAGACAAGATCTGAAGAGGATACAGAGAAGAAAGTTGAATTGTTGGCTTCTGTAGCAACCGCCTTTGCCAAATATGATTTACCAGTACCAGGTGGTCCAAAAAGGAGGATACCCTTCCAAGGTATTCTTTTCCCTGTGAAGAGATGGGGGAACTTGATAGGAAGAATGACAGCTTCCTTGAGAGCTTCCTTTGCAGCTTCTAGGCCGGCAACATCACTCCATTTTACATGAGGCTTTTCAACTACTATGGCTCCTTCAAGTTTTCCCTGTAACTTCTTCTTTTCAGGATCATCAGAGTCACTGTCACTATCACTCTTTTTGTCTTCACTTTTGGAGTTGGATTCGCCATCCTTTACAGGTTTCTTCTTACGATCCTTTTTGAGGTATTCCTTTAATTTCTCTGCCCTATCTAGGTACTGGAGACACTTAGCTCGAATGCTTTCCTTAGCTCTCTCACCTTGAGCTTCGTACTTAACAGCGTGCAAGAAGTACTCCACTCCATGTTCATACAGACGGAGAGCTTCTTCATAGTTTTTATTCTTATCTTCTTCTGTTGCTTTAGTGACAAGGTCAATGGCCTTTTGCAAGGTGTTTGATGATGTCATGCTTGGGTATTAAATTTTTACCTGGAAATAGCAATATAATAAATGCATAAGTAGCTATTAAGTATAGACTATGAATGATTGAATGTGTTAGGTATGCTCGACCATAGTAATAATAACCCACACATATAACCACGCACTAAAGAAACCCTGTATCACGGGTGCCATGGACACACACATAGACAACTGCAATTTACACCAACTCACAAGACAAATAAACATAGACCATACAAATATTTCTCCCGGCTGGGGAATATATTTGTTAAATTTTAAACAGATAATTTGGAAAACTATAATTATGTTGCTGCATAAGTTTAAATAACTTTACCTGTGGCCATACAATTGCACAATATATCAATGTTTTTTTTTACTGGTTAATAAAAGTCATTATTCTGACATGAAATTTACTGAATTTGTTAACATTAATACATATTTTCACCTATTATATTAGATGTATCATTGTGGGATCAATAACACATATGTATAATTAAATTTTTCTCACATAGATGTATGGTAATCATCTCATATATGTATGTACGTACATACATACATACATCAATACCATAATAAATACAAAAGAGGAAACTATAAACACAAATGTCATAGTCAATATGGACAATTAAAGCTTTTAATAAATTTTAGATGAAATTAAGAACACAGTGACACCGACATAGGCAACTTAACAGGGCGTCCTACCTATGTACATGTACAGAAGGACGTAGAGAAAAATGACTCATACAAAAAACTGGCAAAATATCTTTTAACTAAGCATGTCTAGGTTAAAGATATTTGACTGAGGATAAAGGATAGTTACAAATTAACACTCTTTTTGCCAGCTTATTATGTATTAACGTGTATTTTGAAACAAATATACGACATTAGTAGGTAAGAATGTTGTCGTCATTGACAAATATAATCATGGCAGTAATACATTAAGAATTTACTTTACAAAGAAAATATCACACTTACCATCAAGTAGACTGTTAAGAAATAGAAAAAAATGTTTGATTTCGTAATTTTAAAGACAAATTATCATTAAATAGGGTCGAAATTTTATTTCGAAAATTCTTCGCTGTTTGTCACCAGAATGACATAATTTGAACAGTGTTGCCAGAAGAGAAAACAAAATAAAAATTATCTATATAATACCGTATACACGTACGTTTATGAAGCTTGAATCCCGATGATGCTTTTGGTGCTGTAGCTGCGACAATTCGCTCATCCTACCAGCTGTTGCCCGATCAACATATTATTGTAGACCAAGTAACGAGATTTGATATTTATAGCGCTATGAAACAACTCAAGCCTAAACTGACCCAAGGCCCGGACGGTATTCCACAGGTGATAGTAAAGGATTGCAGGGAAGCATTCACCAACCCCTTATATCATTAATTTGTCCCTAAAATGCAATATATATCCCAATGTTTGGAAAACGTCAAAAGTCCTACCTATACATAAATCGGGTCACAAAACTGAAATAAGGAATTATCGCGCCGTGGCTGTTTTATCTGTTATTGCAAAATTTATGAACAACTTAAAGGGTGGTTCTGGGATCAACAGTACGGATTTCTTACAGGTCGCACTACTGCTTCCACTCTTATGAATATTACGACGACCATCTCTGGCGAGCTAGACTCCAGGAAGCAAGTTGACGTAGTATACTTGGACTTCCAGAAAGCATTTGATCAAATTGATTGTGATGTTCTACTAAGGAAATTAATACTTACCGGTATCTCAAAAAACCTAACCGCATTTTTTGCGGACTACTTGGCAAACCGTCACCAATATGTATATTACAATAGGTGCTTATCTCAACCTTATCAAGTAAATTCTGGTGTAGGTCAAGGTAGTGGCCTTGGACCACTCCTGTTTTTAATTATAATAAATAATTTGCCACTGACTATCCGACACAGCGAGTGTCTCATGTTCGCAGATGACGTTAAATTGGCCTGGACGATTAAGTCTGATACAGATTGTGTGCTCTTGCAAAGGGACATTTATAACGTGAACAGGTGGGGAAGGGTAGTTTACAGTTGAATGTTGAGAAATGGTAGTTTACAGTTGTGTCTTTTTCTCGTGCTCGCAAACAGGTAACTAGTCATTATAAAATAAATGATACTCGGATTAGTCGAGCTAAATCAGTCAAAGACTTAGGCACATGGTTCGACACTGAGCTCACTTTCCGAGAACATATCACAAAAATTTGTAAATCTTCCCGCAAGTGTCTCGGTTTCGTCTTAAGACAATCAAAGTCATTAAAAACCAACCTCACGTCATGTCTTTTGTATAACTCTTTTGCTCGAAGCAAATTGGAATGTAACGCCTATCATTTGGAACCCCGTCTATCATAACCACACACAAACATTAGAGAAAATTCAGAAGACATTTGCTCGAAACTTATACAAGAAGATGTACGGATTAATATCCGTACAACGTTAAGGGGTAATCCCCTTAATAAGAACTAAAACTAAAAACTTTATCCCTCAGCATTTATTTTAGGCATGGTAAATTTGTGAGACGCAATCTGGCTCGTGTTTTGTCTTATGTGTGTGTGTGTGTGTTTCGTCTGGTACGGGGAATAATATGGATTTTATCTTTTTTTTGTCATTAATGTTAATCTGTAATAATGTATTGTTTATAGTATTATATTTATAATTTTCATATTTTATTCATTTTTGTAATTGACTTAAGATTTATTGTTCATTTATTGTTCACAATATCGTGATTATTTGAACATAATCACAAAGATTCTTTTGAAATATGTTGCATTCTTCACTTTACGCTTCAATTCATCAGAGATTACTATTCGAGTGTTCGCGCTGAATTTAAGCTTTATCTAATGTATATTTGATTAACTCTTATCGCCAACATTGGACCGGTAACGTATATACCTAAAACATCTTTTCGTAGTCGAATATAATAAAATAGAGTACCTACCCTTTTTTATATTATTACAACCATGGTATATACAGTTCGATTTGTATATACAATTCGTTAATAAAACTTTTTGAATTGTTTTAACTGGTGATGGATCTGCTATAGAGATGGAATTAAACTTATCTAACGCAGGTTGACAGCTTGATGTTAGATACATACCTTAGAGGATGGAAAAAAATAATCTCAGTACAGAGTACTAAAAAAACCGACCTCAACCCACCCTTCGAGGTGAATGATTTTCTTCAAAATGAAATGGGAGTACTATGGAAGTACCCCCTTTCCAACAAAAAAAGAATCATGAAAATCGGTTCACAAATACCGGAGTTATCGCGTAACATACATACAAAAAAAAGAACATACAGTCGAATTGAGAACCACCTCCTTTTTTGAAGTCGGTTAATAAAAGATACATACCCACTGAGGGGACTAATTTTGAGCGTTTTTATTAATGCAATATAATATGCATTTTATTGTAAACAATTTAATTTGAACACCATAGAATTCCTGACATGTGTCAATAGTTTATTAGAAATTCTGAAAAATTTATATCAAGGTCCATTAAATCATTCACTTTTCGATCCACTCAACTTTAGTTTCATTACCACTATCATCAACAATTTCAATCTTCATCCCTGAGTTATTCAGCCTATCAACAATTCGAGTATTTTGGAATGCTGTACCGCTGTTTATCACGCCACCTCTAAAAAAAAGACGTATAATCGGGAATTACAAAAATTAAAAATATCGCAGAGGGACCACAAAGTTATAAAACAATTTATTATGAATCAAATGTTATAAAGGAAAGCAACAACGTTACCATTTTTAAACATTCTAACAGCAAACTTAATTACCGTCTTATTTAACCAAGATAAGATACGAAATATCAATCAATCACTGATCATATATTATTTTATACTCACATCGGCATTTTAGATCTCTCTTTAAGTATTGTTAAAGCAGCACAAATAGCTGCTATGGCTGTAGTACGATATCCAGGATCGTTTCCAGAAACCTGAAATATGATAATTGAATTTACGCCTATATTTTTAACGATAAAAATTAATAATAAAACTTATGTATCTGTATAACGAGCCCTGTACCCCACCTATTGCGGGGTCGGCTAGCGGCGCGTGGCGGGTTCATAGTACAGAGTGTGCTTATGCTCTTCGGTGGCACAGCAGTAGTGGGCGCTTGATGAGGAGGTTCCGGGTTTGATTCCCGATTTGGGCCAATTTAGGAAACGAACATTTCTAAGTTGGCTCTGGTCTAGATATTCTGGATATTGCCCTCAGAGTTATCGTTATTCTGGTATTCATAGTACCTATACAGGAAATTCCCTAATTTGAGACCAGAAATTTGGAGTGATTGTCTGGCATTTTTTCCCCTAAAGTCATTGACTTAAAGTACTTCTGTTTGTCATAGCTTCCAAAAAAATAGTTCCTATATAGTGATACCCAGGAAATATGTAGGTATAGAAAACCACCTATTCACGTTTATTATATGGACTGGGACTGGGTTTTTATTTACAAGCAGCATTTAAATAAATTATTCATAATAATATTATGTTCACCAGACAAAGTCGACGATAATTATTATGAAAGTAGGTACTTTATTGCAGTTTACTGACCTTTGCTGTTAAGGATTTCCCCACATTGTTATTGTCAGCTCCTGAGCCGTATAATGTGAATGAATATTTTGTATTATTTCTCATTTGTTCGCTCGGTCCTTTGTGTGAAAAATAGCCTAAAGTAAAAAATTTAGGATGTTTCCACAATAACTTTCGGAAGCATTTGAAGGAACAAAGGTAGTAGTAGATAAAGAAAACAGGTACTACAAAGAAATGTATGAGAAGAGGCGGAGTCACGTAACTTTGGAAAAAGTACGTTGGTGTTCCTGTTTTTGAGCGATACGCTTGATCAATCGCTACAATGCTCTCATCAGGTCCTGGATAAGGGAACCAGAATCTACCATGATTTCTATGAAAGAATGATCTGTAAAAACCACATAACACGTCATATTTAGACGACGACTTTTAGCAGCATGCGAACACACGTTTCACGAACGCGCGATTGCGTCGATACAAACGCGCGACCTGCATCGATTCAAACGCACGATTGAATTAACACGAACGCGTGATTACAATCGCCTTTAAATTTATCCCAGATGTAGCGATGCAATCGCGGGTTTGTATCGATGTGTAACCGCTCTTAAGGTTAAATCAGAACACATAAAGTTTGGAATTTGTACCGTTCTTATTGTAAGCGGCATTGAGTTTAAATTTAAATCTTAAGCATCAAGTTTGCTGTGACCTGAACCTTGTACATTTTACAGGATCGTTATATGGAACGTTGAAATATGTTGTACCATACCTTTTTAAGCTTTGGGGTACAGGTTTAAAGCCTGGATAAACTTGGCTTTTAGTTTCATGGAACTGTTTAAGATTTTGCAATTCATGCACTAGTGATTCCCAAGTTCCATAATGTACTACGCAGTTATCACGTCCAGGTAGGATAGATGTAGGAAAATCGATAGCTGTGTAGCATTCTACAGTACGAAGAACACCTGAAAGACAGTACGATAGGTAGTACAAGTACATTTACTCAAATATTTTATATGCCCGTAAAAATATACATAATTTCAATAAGAAAGAAGATATCCATAATATTAACCTTAGAGCTAAATCCAAACTCATGGTACCATGATTTCGTTTAACGAAGGTAAATAACTCTTTTATGGGAAACTGTATACGTTTTTACAATAAGATTCCGGAGCATATGTTAAGTTTATCATTTCCTTAGTTTAAAAACTACGTTATACATACAATTATTTTGATCGAAAAATCATATTACAAAATTGAAGACTACTTGTTAGATAAAGATGTATGGAAAGACGACATGGCTCCAGAATCCACACAAATTTGATTCAAAGTGTTATTCCATAGCATTTAAGTTTATTTGAAAAGAGCAATCCCTAGAGTTTTTTGCTCGTTCTTCTCAGGGACGTCAGCGTAGTGAACAAGCAGTAGCTTAAATGTGACGTTTTCAAGTGTACATTTATTTTACCTATGGAATAAATAAACTTTGACTTTGACTTTGGTAGAAAATTATAGGGTAGGTAATAATAACATACGGGTGTCTTGATTGTTAGAGAGACAAAACATTAAAAGTTATAAAATATTATGTTAATAGAAATGAAGAATAAAAGAAGTAAGAGAAGGTCCTTTCCCAGCAGCTTAGTAACAAGATAAACTGTATTTTCATGCACATAAAATACGCCATAATCGAGCAATTTAAATAATATGAATATTTTTTTTTAATGAACACCTTTGAAATTATTTTCTAGATGGATAAGACCAGCTGACACTGGTACAGAAGCAAATCCACACGCAGGAATGATTAACACGTTTGCCTGTTCCGCTGGTTTGTTGTACATTTGGTAGATATTCATCATATGCTGTAACAAAATACATATAATTCAATATGTCGATGGGTCCTAAGCAGTGTTGGGCAAAATTTAATTGTTCTGGCAATTAAAGATTGACAATTGATTAATTGTCAATTGCGAAACAGCAACTAACAATTGGTCAATCGTTAATCGCAAATATCTACAATTAACAATTAATCAATTTTCAATCTTTTCAATGTTTTTGATTAACAATGAACAATTAAAACTGACAATTATGATAAATTTATAGGGCATATGGGGGTGAGGGCATAGGGCGTTGGTTGTGGGGGCCTGTTTGGGGCCTGCTGGGGGCAGGTTAGGGGCCCGGTTGGAGGCCCCGGTTGGGGGGCCCGGTTGGGGGCCCAGTTGGGGGCCCCAGTTGGGGGCCCCAGTTGGGGGCCCCGGTTGAGGGCCCCGGTTGGAGGCCCGGTTGGGGGCCCGGTTGGGGGGCTCGGCTGGGGGGCCCGCTTGGGGGCCCCGGTCGGGGCCCCGTTTGGGGGGCCCGGTTGGGGGACCCGGTTGGGGCTCCGATTGGGGGGCCCGGTTCGGGCCCAGTTAAGGGGCCTGATGGCTCCGAACTGGGCCCCCCAACCGAGCCACCCAACCGGGCTCCCCAAACCGGGGCCCCACAAACGGGCCCCCAACGCGGCCCCCAGCCGGACCACCCAACGCGGCCCCCAGCTGGGCCCCCCACCCAGGCCACCAACCGGGCCCCCCAACCGGGCCCCCAGCCGGGGGCCCCAACCGCAATAATAATAATTATATAATAATTGCAATTGATTTCAATTGAATTGATTTTTTAATCTGATTGAATTATTGATTGAAATTTAATTGATTAACGCCCAACACTGGTCCTAAGTATAAGGGCCAAAGTAACAATTTGATCATTTTCACTTTTTTGTGGGAAATGCTTAATTTCATTATAATCTATAAGGGAGCGTTAAGACAAAATCAAACATATTCAAAGAAAACTCGAAACAC